AGCAAAAAGTGAAAAGAGAAGAAAACAGAGGATTATATTCTGCCAGAAGACAAAGGGATGGTTGTATGTGAGAAGCATTGGGAAAGCATTGGGGAAATGAGGGTCCAGCTCTGCACAAACTTTCTGTCTGACACTGGACAAGTCAATCTTTCTGTGACTCAGTTTGCAAAGGCTACAATGGGAATAATAAAGTTTCCTTTGTTCTGCCTTTCTCTGCTCACATCAGATGTCCCTTCTGTTTGTATTTTGTAGAAAGCCAAGATGCACTTGGCTTTCACTGCAAACACAAAATCCATTGAGAATTTGAGAGGAAAAAGAAGAGGTAGGAAGCCAAGAAGGCGATGATAAACCTAGAAGATAACTGCTCCAAAAACTGGGGAGGCAGAGGAGTACAAGAGAGACCTTTACTGAGGGAGGAAGAAAGAATATGGACCGGATTAATGCTACTGTTGCCTCCTGGACTCCAGTACAGTTCCTTGAGGTGTGGGTTTAGCCCAAGGTGTTCAGTTTTGCTTGGTTAAAGAAACTTCATGCTGACGTTTTTAAATAGTCAAAGCTGTTCTGAGAGCTGAGAGAATGTGGGCTGCCTTTCCTGAAACATTGCATGGGACTTGGGATGAACAAATCCTGCTGAAGGCATCAAGAGCCAAGTGATTAAGCCCCATGCAGTGCTCTGACAGGCGGCCTTCTTCTTGCCTACGCATACTTTTTTAAGTATAGAAAGTATTTCCATATTTCCAGCAGCTGATCTTTATTCGAAGCCAAGAGCTGCATTTTTCATATTAGAGCTGAAGCTTTTCTAGGAAAAGCCACTCTGGAGGAGACCATTGGTTCATGTAGCCTAAGACAGTGTCTCCGACAGAGGCCCTGCTCCCTGCTTAGTGAAAGAAATCCTAAAGCCCACAGGACTCTCTCCAGGGATAATTTCTGTTTCACTCCAAGAGTTAGAGTTTGGCTTTCAGTTCAAACTCTGTAGGCTGATATTCTTTCCGAAACTCTTGCTTATTTTATTAATCTTTAAAGTTCCCTGGAGCTGTTTGCTGTTCACAGGTCTGTAACCTGCTCGGGAAGCCCCTTGAGCTGCTGACCTCCACATCAGCAGCAGTTAGCTCCCTAGGCTACCTGGGACATTTGTGTGGGGAAAAAGGAATTTTCTCAGCTCCAGGTTTGCTGCATTTAACATGGACACATGCCTTAAGCTTCCCTTTATCACCCAGCTGGCTTCTCATTATAGCATCTCACCTAAAACTGTGAGTTGTTTTTGCCATGCAGGGAATCCCTGCTGGGAGACAGGCTGTGCATGTGTGACACTGCTCTGCCCTGAAACGTGACTCAGCCATGCTGAAGATCCACTGTTTTAATATTTCAGTGCTTCCGAGTTAACAGGAGTACGTTATTCTGTCATCTGCTCCAGCAGGCATGGTGTATTTTTCTTGTGTCACTGGAGTAATAAGTTTGTGGATAGTCATAGCATCCTGATAGGTGGATAGCACATTAAGCCAAGGCATGATAGAGGTGTGAGGGGCTGCAGGGTAACTGAGACATGGAACCATGTCAGCAATTACAATGCTCAAGCTTCTTTGAAGACCGTGGTGAGACTTGCAGGTAGAAGGGCAAGAGGGGCACTGTTGGGTAGTCCCATGCTTATGATGATGGTGAGGCAGAAATCAAGTGCATGGACAGTGCGCAGCATGGCTCAGTGTCCATTCCACCCTTCCTTCATCCACCTTTTCTGTGTACTCCTGCTGCAGAAGGGCTTGTGTCTTACAGGAGTAAGAGAGGTGTAGGGCAGAATACAAAGCACAGCCTTTGTCATCATCTAGTAGCAAACTGTCTAGGTGGTTGTATACCCAGGGCTCTGCAGCAAAAATTACATGGTGGTATGCAGACATGGTTTTGGGTCCAGCACACAAACAAGCAAAACAAATGTATTAGAAACAGCTGGGGAATAGGATGAAAATGAGCATTATTGAGGTATGCTTATAATAACTTATGAACTGGGAAATGCATCATTGCTGCTCTGGGCCCTCCTGGAGACAGATTTGATGTTGCTTTTGGAGCCCTCATTAAAGCCATTGCTTTTCCATTTACGCATCCCTTCCCTGAGCCTTTGCTGGAAAACCTGAGAGCATGCTCTGAGATGTAGCTGCTAGCTTGAAGATTTTATCAGAAGCTGGAGTGACCTCTGAAAGCAGTGGTCATGGCCTCAGCTCTGGGTCATAAGCTGCTACTTGCATGAGCACATACATCACCCACGGCAGGGGCGTTGCTTTAAGCACTGACCTACCTTCAGGAGTTTCCTCCCTCATCCTGAGGGACATTTTGCATCTCGTCAATTTTTGTTGATTTCCTGGCCCTAGGATGGCCTCATAGCTTTCTGATTTGTTCATCATTTTGCAGTGTGTCTGGCCTGTCCTGGAGGACACTGAGGAAGGCAAAAAAATCTGCTGGCAGCACTGCCCCCATTTGTATCTTCCCTTGCCTTTCCTGTCAAGCCCTTTGCCTGCATCCTGTCCTGCTGCAGCTCAGGAGGTGACCTTCTTTAAAAGTCATACATTTTTCTCCTGGTCTCCGTGCATATTACCTGATGCAGTTCTTCCTTGTGGGGGAGCATCTGAAATTGTCTTTCAGCCCTCAGTATAGTGCTTCTTGCTAAGAAGTCCTTACTGTGTGGTTTGCATATACGTATACCAAAACCACTAATTTTTTTGGTTTTGTTGACTAGACTTCAGTTGTACAATGTCTGCTGCGTAGTTAAGTGCCTAAGAATTGATTTTGCTGTTTCCCTGACAAATTTAACAAATATTGGCCAAAACTCAGCTTGCACTGACACTGCCAATCCTGCAGCTGGAGAAATTTGGCCCAGTGCTCCTCTTCAGTGTCTTGGAGCCATTGTGATGTGTCTAGCATGCTGGCTGTTCTTGTTTGCTTCATGGTCGGATGAGATGCTTATATACAAAGCTTCTTAAATTCCAAACGTTCCCTGTGGCTGAACGGTTCCTCCATTTGATGTGAAAGCTAGCCACAGCCTGGGATCTGAGACGTTATTCTTGTTAAGAGGTTAGGTTAATAGCAAAGTCTCGTATATTTAATACAGAGTGCCAGAAGTCCTGGTTACTTTAATGCAGAAGGAGTTCAGCAACCAGGACTAGTTTCCCTGGTCCTCAAACACTTTACTGACCCAAAGCACTCTTTAGGGGTCTCTCAGGACTGTGCTGCAATGCCTGTTTAAATATTAGTGACATTGGTCTTGGCTTTAAACTGAATTACATCACTCCTTTCTATGCTGATTTTAGTGAGTGTAGACTTAGCTGATGAGTTTGCTCATCTTCTGGAGCTGAGTGTTACAGAGGTGACACAGGCTCAGCTGCAGGTGAAAATGGCTGTTATGGTCTTCATCCCATCTGCTTCATATGTGTGCATGCATCATAGAATCATAGAATGGTTTGGAGTGGAAGGGACTTTAAAGTTCCAACCCCCCTGCCGTAGGCAGGGACACCTTCCACTAGACCAGATTGCTCAAAGCCCTGTCCAGCCTGGCTTGAGCAATTCCAGGGATGGGACATCCAAGCTTCTCTGAGCAAACTGTTCCAGAATCTCACAACCCTAATAGTAAAGAATTCCTTCCTAATGTCTATCTAAATCTACCCTTTTTCAGTATAAAGCCATTCTCCCTTGTCCTATTACTACGTGCCTTTGTGAAAAGTTCTCCAGCAATCAAATCACTGTACCCTTAAAGGCTGCATGAGGCAAGAAATATATGACGATATATAGGGAGGGCTTTTATTTCCATTCCCGTTTTCAGACCCAGATGTTCATGTGTCATCTGCTGTGTTCAGCAAGAAAGACCTGGTGGCCAGAACAACATTGCCATATTTCTAGCCAGTCAAGAAAGCTGCTTAGTGAGCAGACTCTCTTGCCCTGGTACCATCCTTGAAGAATGGTGGTTACTGCCTTCCTGTGAAAGGTAGAAAGTAAAAACACGGGGTTTCAAATACGTTCGACTCTTTGATAAGCTGGAATAGATTTAAGGCCATATTGAAGATCACTTGTCATGATGGGTATTCACTACCCAGTGATGGATGAGTTATTTTTCAGGCAATTCAAGTATGTTCTTCAAATCCACCTTTTGTTTTGTAATAGTGCTGATGGAATAGCAGTGTCTGGCTTGTTGAGGAGTGATCCATTACTGCTGGTCTTTTGCAAAGCAGAAAGATGCTGCTGGTGGCTGTGGCTGAGAGCACTGGCAGTTCTTTTCCTAAGGCTTCTAGAGGAGTAAAAGTCTGGGATTTCTTTGGTGAACTTTCAGGAAACATGAAATAATGTGGCACTGCAGGGAAGGCAGATGGCCTGTGCAGGTATATTTAACATGTGATCAAACAGCATGTATTACATAAGGGTGTGCTGTGGCTTCAAAACACCCCTTACCCAGAGGAGACTTTGACTGGCTTGTAAGCGTGTCCTTCCTTTGAGTGTGGTCCCCACCTTGAGGCCTTCCATTTCCAGCTGTGCTGTGTACAAGAGGAGAGGAAGGGGAAAAGCTTTTGTTAAGCCAGCCCCTGTGCAAATCTGCCTCGAGGGGGCTGATGCTAAATGGGTATGCATGTGCTGTAACATTCCCTGCAATTTTGCCTGGGCTGTGTTCAAAACTATGAAGGGAGAAGGCTCTTGGCTGAGTCTGCAGGCTGGGCATCTCCCAGGCTTGGTAGTGTGGTCTGTGAAACAGGCAGTGGGGCTAAACCTGCTTACTTGGTGGGAAATTTGTTAACCTTTCAGAAGTTCTGAAAGATAAAGTGATGAGCTGATTCTCTGTATTTTCTTTCTACAAACATCAATATTTATGCTACTTGTGAATCGGACATTGGAGTCTGTTTCTTGGTGCTTTTATGTGATTTATAGACTTCCTTCAGCCTGATTTTGAGAAACATGGAGTGTCCATGAAGCTGGGAACAAGGATATGCTCTCACCTAATGTAGCTTTCCTGTTTTCTTTTTTTGTAGGTTCTTTTCGAAATGATGGTTTAAAAGCTGCCGATGTTCTTCCTATACTGAAGGAGAAAGTGGCCTTTGTGTCAGGTGAGCACATCTTTGCTGGATCCCTGCAGCCTAACATGAGCACCATCTGCCATGTCCTGGTTTTTATGGTGCTTCAGAGTCACAAGGGAACAGTTTTGTGTTTGGACTTGATATACTTAAATTAGCTGTTCTGCTAAGAAAAGGGCTGTATGTGGAACAGGGCTGTCCACTAAGACTGACAGTGTTGGAAACCAGCCCATGTTGATTTTCTTCAGATTCTGAGAAACAGGTAAATGGGCAGCATGAGTGGGATGAAATGCAGCTTCTTAGCTCCCGCCCAGACCTATGCTGCCTCAGCTTTCAGAACAGTTCAGGGATGCTGCTTTGGGTTCAAGGCCAGTGAATATCAATAATTCCTGTTTGTAGGAAGTGCTCAGACCTGTAAAACCCTGGTGTTTCAGTTGCAATCCCAATCAACTTGCAGTTAAAAGTACCATTCAGTTGCATTTGCATAATAACTCAGATGCTCAAAGATCTCCTGCCATCCCGTACAAAGATTTACAGCCTTCATTTAGGAGACAAATCTCAAGGACCTGGGGGTGGATGAGGACTAGACGATATGGAAATGTCTTTGAGAATGGTTTGGATGATATTGTTTCTGGTGTGAATTACAACTTGTCAGGGAGAGGGGGAAGAGAAAGTCTGAACCGATCCTAATCTTCAGTGAAGTCACTCAAATGACAGCATAAAACCAGGGTATTATCAAACCAGGGCAGCATAAAACTGGGGTATTATAAAACCACAGACACACAGGGCCAGTGTTTCTGATGATTGCAAACCATTAAGGCTGCTTTTGGTGATCTTCTCTGTTGCAAAGAGAAAATCTGAATCAGTAATAGCTGCCCTTCTTGTTTGCAGTCTGCTTTTGTTTCCTTCATCTTCTCAGTAATGCTGACTGCATAGGGAAGTAGCAGCGAGGCTGTTAGGTGCTTGGACTCTTCCTCCCAGCTGCTGGAGCCAGGCTTGTGAGGATGATGCTTGTCACCCTCCTGAGCCATGGAGATGTCTTGCCAGGCAGGAAAAGCTTTTGCCTTCACTACTGATTGGTGTGTGATGTCTTCCTGTGTAGCAACAGTTAAATGGTCCAGGGATCACGAGTCCTGCAGTGACTTGAGCAAACTATTTGTGGCTCTAATAAACCCTATACTTTCTGACTCATGATGTGATGATCCAGGACTTTGAGGGAAGTTTGTAAGAGACCAAAAGCCTAATGTGAAAACCCAAGACTATCCCAACTGTACTTGCATGCAGGCCTACTTTATCTCACACTGATTTTTCATTCTGAATGCCCTGAAATGTTTTACATGGTTTTTGGCTTTCACTGCTCCAAAGATGGGAATGTATTCATAAAAATACAGTGTACCTGCAGAGCAGTTTGCAACACAGAGACTCTGCTGAAATTTGGTTCTTGGCTCTTGCTGTCTCTTCCCGTGGAAATGACTGCAGGATCATTTGGTAGTTCATGGAATATTTAATAATGACAACCTGTCTGGATCGTTTACATAGCCCCTTCCACTGATGGTGCCTGCATTCAGCTCTGAGCCAGAGAGTCTCACACCAAATCATCAGCTCATTAGATGCTGTCCTGGGCCAAGCTTGTCTTGCAGCAGGGGGCCAGGGTGGTGTTGGTGGTGGTGGTGTGTGTGGGGGGGGGGTAGGTGGCATTAAACAGGAAACACCAACATGATCCCCTGGGGTTTCACACCATGAACAAGGGACAGCTCGCTCCATGTAGACTCACCAGCCTCCAGCCTTGTAGCTGCTCAAATGTGCCTGTTATTGACATAGCTAGCTAGCTAGAGATCCTAGAATTTACACCTGCTCTCCACTGTTGCAACACCTATGGGCAGCAATTGTCAGGAGCCTTTGCAGATAAAATGCTCTGAGCTGCTAGTGTCTTACTGCAATAGTCCCAGCATCACCCTCCAGCCCAGAGTTTTACGTACTGCTCAGTCTTCCCCTGGCATGTAGTAAAGCAGACTAAGAAAGGGATTTGAGCACTTCAGCTGATGGCTAGCTTCTTTTTCATTAAAATGGAATAACTTCCTGGAGTATGCTTTGAGCCCAGAAGACAAAAATTTTTGCCAAAATAGAAAAATCAAATAGCTGGACTTTGCAAGATGAAAAACCCCTGTTCTGTAGCTAGCACAGGCTGTGGGAGCACATTGTGTTTGTAATTGGGCTCTTGAAGAAAGGGAGAGTTTTATTGAGTCCTCTTCAGAGTTTAATACTACAGTTAATTTTAACAATAACAGCACAGTAATGTTGTCAAGGGGGGTTCTCCACACACCAGCAGAATTTATCAGCATGCACAAAATCTCAGCTGAACATCTCTGTTGTAGAGTTTGTTTCTTTTCTCATCTGTTGTGGCTCACCAGCTTGATTTTTAGTCCGTGATTCAAGAGGAAGGCTGCAGAGAACAAACAAGCTTCTTCAAGCAGGGACTATACTATACCGTGTGTTGTGTTTCAGTGTTGTGGATGCTCCACACCTGGACCCTGTGGAAGAGCAGGGCAGAACAGGCAGGGAAGTGACACTGCTGCCTGCTCCAGAGCAGGCACAACAGGACCTGCCTGCAGAGCTGTGTGATCTCAGAGGAGCACTCAAGCTTTCAGAAGTGCACTTAATTTCAGAGTTGAAATACAGCTCTAACTAGCTGGGCATGGATTCATCCAGCCTAAATACCGTCTGGGGCTCTGTGCCTGGCGCTTCCCCTTGGCTGGCTCAGCTGGCAAGCGAGCAGCAGGCGCAGGGCTCTGCATCCGCATTGCTGCGCTGCAGGGGAGTTGAGGAATGGATAATGTTGAGATTTTTTCCTGGAACTGGTTCTTGATTTCTTCCAGTGATGTCATGTACAAGCTAGACTGAACCCGAGCAAAGTTCATGCGTATGTGTGTCTTAAACAGCACCTGAAAATCCCATTCCAGCACTCATAGGCAGAGAGATGGCCTGAGCAGTTGTGTGCGTGGTGCATCCTGGCCATCGCCATGATATGCTTCCATTGCTGACCTGGTGGAGTCAGATTAAGCAGGGAGTTGGCAGGGGGGAGGTTTTGGCCACCTGCTTGTTGCCTAAATCCTAATAAAATCTTGGCTTTGCCTGGGTGGTTCACTGTGTTGCTTCCAGCAATGGAATGGCTTTGGGAACCATTAGGTGTGAGCTACAGGCCAGAGGCTGATTTTTTTATATTCTGAGAAGGATATGAGTGCAGAATAGAGAAAATAAAACAGGTTGTAGATTATTTTAGGTGGAGTTTTTTTCAGTGAGAGGTGATGAAATATTTTGGAAGCTGGCTTATAGTCTTTCCTAGGAAATACAGATGCTGTTTTAGAAGAGTGGTTTAACTTGGGATGCTGTTCAGCTGCTTGATTATTTTTATAAAGATTTCCTACTGATCTGTGTAATATGGGAGAAAGTATATGAGACTCTCAGGAGAGAGAGAGGATGGTCCCTTGGTCCCTTCCCATGCATGGACCTTTTCATTCAGTTAGGCTATGAAAAGCTTGTTAGTTGACTAATGCAGTGGGTCTCACTGAGAGCATTTCCGCTTTCCCTGCGTCCCACCCAGAAGAGTTTCCCAGGATCCTTCCCAGTAATTCCCAGTCCCTGGTGGGGTCAGACGAGCAGCAGCACATGGGCTCCTGTGCTTCTGCCTGTCACCCAGGTGGTGTCTGCTGTCTGCCGAGGCAGGAGTACAAAGGAGGAGGCTGGCCTGGTTTTTAAGAGAGTGGTTGAGCATGGAGGAATCTACAGCAAAAGGTTAAGGATAATAAGCCAGTGAGCTGCTGCAGCAGGAGAGCTCCCAACACACATTCAGCAAAGTGGGAGTTTTTTCTGTGGACTTCGGCCAAAAAAAAAACATGGGGCAGAGAAGTGGATGTGGTAACAGTCTGGCCATCTCCATCCTTCAAAAGCCCACCATCCCCAACCTCCTGTGTCTCAGGAGCAGCCTTGTGAGCTGGGTCACAGCGACATCTGAGCCTGGTTGAGAACCTGAAGGGAAAAACAGACATTTCCTGAAAGGTCTTTTAGAGGGGGTATTTCAGTGTAAGTAGATCAGAAGAAAGGACAACTTTGCAATTAGATTTCATTGCATTTAGAACAGCAGGGTGAATCAAAGATGAATGCTCAGAGGGGGAGACAATGACCTTCCCAAAGGTCACAGGTCACTTACTGCCACAGGTACATGGGACCACATGTGCAGGGGCATTTTTTATATATTTTTAGTGATGGATGCCCTTCACTCTTCAGTGAAGGGGTTGAAATGAAACACCAGGACCCTCTGGGCACTGGAAGAGTTCAGATCCAGGTTACAGGGAGTCTTAAACACTGATTTGTAGACACTGGAATTTGTATTGAGTTGGGAATAGAAATAATAAAAATACTTAATTTTTGAATGATGTAAACATTTTGTATTTGCACAAAAAGTTTTGATTTAAATTAAAATTTTCCATTCTCTCTTTCCTCTGGAATGAAAATTTGAAATGAAGCATCAACAATTCTTCTGTATTTTGTTACAGAAAAATGTCTTTCATTTTATACTATTCCCTGATGTAGTTTGAAATCAATGGAAATTCCCAAAAGAGGAAATAGGCTATTAGAAAAAACACAGCATTGCTTGACTATTGAATTTTCCTAGTGCTTTTGAGCCATCATGCTTTCATCTAAAATTTGCTGCTGCATTGATTCAGTTTTTTCTTTGAAGAAGAAAATTAGGAAGTTTAGACTGTGACGTTTCCAGGTCTTTTGATGGCATCTGGGCCTGCTGAGTTTGTTTTTAATTTCTTTTTTTTTTCCTAATTTTTTTTTTCCTTTTGTTTTACTAAGGTGTTCTATTTTTGAGGCCAGTGAAGAGCCTTTACCTATGGGGGTGTTTAGATATCCTCACTGGGACTCTAAAGTTAAAGCAGAAATCAAAATGTTTCCTGGGATTTCTGATTTAATCTACTGTAACGTGCAGAATCAGTTGCTGTATTTCTTTCCATATGTTCTACTGTAGC